TCTAACCGGCGATCCCTAAATATGCGCCAGAAGTGGCGCGAAAGAGGGAGCGGAGGGTGAGAGTAAGAACAGAGGATGGAAGAGAGATATATCTGGTCTCTGGTTGGTTGAACGAGGACCATGTCGGCTTGGTAACTGTTACCGCGGAAGGTGAGGAGACCCAGTTAATTACTAAAGCGTTTTAATCGTCGGCAAAGTTCCGACGGCACTCTAAAGCCTCGGCCGAAAAGGGCTTCGGTGAATGTGGCGGCTGTGTAAATTAGGAACTCCATGGTTTTCCGTTCTGTCAGTTTGCTAACTTTTCGCGGCAAACTTCGAACGTGGTATTACTATCATCTTATGAAGACCTTCTGCCACTTGTGACAAACATGTAATACATTATGCTAAAATTTCTTCATGGTACATGATGGTACTTTATGAGCATTGCGACTGCAATTTTGTAATAAACACATCTTGTGAACTAACAGACATTTTGTGAATCACCACACATCTTATGGACTACCAGACATCTTGAGGACTACAAACTAGTCTTCACGTATAAAATGTAATGAAACACATTTGTAAAATTGTCAAAATTATTCAAGTGTACACTTCAAGGTTATGTGCTAAGTAGATATCTAATGTAAATGTGTAAAGAAAGATTTGATGTAGTAATAATAAATGTTAATAAAAGCCGTGGGCATTTGCCTAAAATAAATGAGGACGAGTCGACGTCTCCCGTTAAATAACTTCGCTTAACAAGGTGCCGCCACTGTAAAAAGATTACGTAAGCGGTAATGGCTGCCGGCTCCTCCTAAATTCGAGAACGAAGAGTTTCAGTACGAAGTGCACAGAGAGAGAGAGAGATAGAGAGCGAGAGAGAGTGTAGATAGAGAAGAGAGAGAGAAGAACAGGAATGGCGAGCGAAGAGGAGAGGGAACATCGAAGTCTCGTGGCGGGGGTTAATTTTAATTTCCTAATTTTTCCCACCCCGAGGCGCAGGTAATTTCCTCCCCAGAAGAGAATAGATGTAATTACTTAACGCCTCCGAGCTCTGAGCTCCTCTTATTAAAAGAGGATCGTGCCCTCGAGGGCTGGAGGGGTGAAAGATACCGCCTCTGGTGGGGAGGGTGAGGCGGAGTGGTGGAACAACAATCGTCGGAGAAACGATCGCGAAGAAAGGGAAACACTGTTCGATGCTTCTTTGAATCAACAATGTCGTTTACCGTCTTTTGTAAAATTACTGTCTTGCAAACTCAAATTTTCCTAAATTTTTATTGAGGTCTTAAGAGGAATTGCGATAGGGAGAAGTTAATAATTAATAAACTGTTAGTATCAGCTCCATTGTCACTTCAAGTTTCATTGAAGAAGAAGAATTAAAGAAAATATCAATATATTAGACAATCTCAAGAATAAATTAAATAAAATTGAATAGACTACTATGTTTTTAAATTTTTAAGCTTTTAGAGAAATACTAAATATATCTGCATGTCTGAATTAACAACCAGATATAAATTTGACTGCTTCGCATGCTATCAGACATGTCAAGTTTATCATATTTATTATTATAGAATAGTTCATTTAATTCTATAATAGTGTTACATTCACTCCAGACATTTTGAGTTGATTTCTTATCACAATTATGATCAGACAGATCTGAAAGTTTCCTAAAGATTTATATTTATTTTCCTAAAATTGTATATTTGTTAAAATATATGCCACTAGAAGTCTAATTATTCTACAATAATTTTATCTAATTATTTCGTAACAAATTAGAGAAAATCCACATTGAGTAAATGCACCAAAATTATCTCGAAGTTAACCTATTTACCTCAAGACCTCATCAAATTTGAAGATCACCCAATAAATTTTTAGAGTTTCCCAGTAAAATTTTGAAATAACCTTGACCACCGTGATTTAAAGGCATCCGCCGAAGGAAGTGGAGAACGAACCCTATTATTTTCAGGAAAAATGTCCACAAGTCGAGCAAAGGTGTGCGAGTGGATCTTCCAGGCTGAATTAGACGTTAAGGTCGACGGGTGTCGGGTGTTCCGTCAGGGGTGGTTTTCCCGAATACAGTCGGGGAAGGGAGGAGCCATCTTGCGGCTGCTTTCAGGCCAGCCACCAATTGATTCATCCCCACCTTGATCCCATAACTGGAAGGAAGGGGCGTCGATTCAATTCCAGGACAAAAAAACCGTCCACGAGGCGGAGTCCCTTTCGTAATCCGTCCGTGGCGATTGGCCAGGAATAGAGAGGCACCCGTGAACCCACCGAGCGTGCGTCCAATCGCGAGCGCCTGGGTGGCGACCCGAACCAGTTTGGGTTCCGTGAATAGAGGGGAGCCGTTGACTTCGCTCACCAGGCAGATAGTGCTGTGCCGTTGGCTCGTGCCGTAGTGGTTCTAACACTAACAGGTCCTTGCCACCAAGGAATCCCTGGAATCCGTATACTCGGCCGAATTCGGACCCTAATCTCAGCTGATCGGTGTTTTCGTTCTAACTGTCAGGAAGTGTCCGAAGTGTGGGACCTGTGTTTTGTTTGGGATTGTGATCACATTTTCGGTGTTCGAACTCTTCGACCAGGTCCGGGTGATCAAAGTGAAGTGGAACCTGAAGGGACTGGACTGACCGTGTTTTAGAAGATGATTGTACCCGAAGAACAGTGTACTTGAAGAAGGTGGTTACAAAGTAAGCTACCCGACGGCTGAGCGAACATCGGTACCCCGCTCAAAAAGATGTAAACAAACAGGTCTGATAGGCAGAAAAACCTTGGCCCAGAGTTTGCACGTTCCGCCGATCTAGTGGCAGCAACTACCTTCACGGTTGTCAGCATCGATGAGCGTGAACGGGAGATTGACCTAGCGAGAGGTTCATAGATGCAAAAGAAGTGAAATCTCTCCGACGGAGAGACAAACGGTCGTCAAGTTGGTACCAAACATGGTCCTGGAACCAGGAGGCGGTCTGTCATTTCCACTGCCTCCTGGTAGCGGTTCCGCTGGCTCCGGCGGTTCACTGTTGACACCTGCCAGGCTGTTCCAGAGGGCGACACCCGTGTTTCCGTTTCATCTGGCAGGATGGCCGCCGCATCATCCGGTCCTGGGACAGGTTCAGAGCCAGGTACAGCAGACTATGCAGGCTGTGTCCGCTGTCAGGTTCCTCAGTCATCATCATCCTCATCATCCACATCCTGCGTTGGGGAACCACCCTCTGGTGCCCGCGATAACTGGCCATCATCCGACCGCCCATCATCTTCATCATGGTGCCGATCACAACGACGAGGATGACGAGAAGAAAGGTAACTGGTCCCGTTTTTTACTCAAACGCAGCTGCGAAGGAAGGCGGGCCTGGAAATATGCTTAGGTAGCAAGGGTTTGGTGGATGATTCGGCTCGTTTCGTAATTGGTAGCGATGTCCTGGTAATTGATGTTGCCCTCTGTTCTTGGAAAATTAGATTTTAGATTCACGATGTATAAACCAGAGTTTCAAGTAACCTGGTGTTAGGTTTTGGTATCAATAGTTGAATTAGCAGTTACCCGGTTGACATATTTCGGGAATGGGACACTTCTCTGAGTGTTAATATTCGATAGTGCAAGTCGGACTCTCCTCTTTTCTTGTGACATTCAAAGTTCATCCAAAACTACTATTTTATTGTAATAAAATGGCGATTTTTAAATTTTCTTGATGTACCACCCGGGAGTGTAATTTTACGCTCCAGCGAGTTTCTCTAATGGCGTTAATTATGCGCTGTAAACTTTTCATTTTACAGCGAAGTATAAAGTGGAAGAACAATCGAGTCGTAACGTATGTTTTCACTGTCGCTTCGATTAATTGTCATCGATAGTTCTGAAGATTCTCGGAAACTGTTGCTTTTTTAATTTCGTCTAAATCTTTGATTTGAAAATTTATTTTGCATCCGTCGCATACTTGATTTTGCAAACTGCAATTATATCCAGTCGGTAAATTAATCGCAATCCCGATAATTGAACGGTGGCGTATACTAATAAGGGGAGCTGGTTTTTCAGCGGGTTGCAGGAAAAATCGAAACCCACATACTCCTTTCAAATATGCTTGCCACAGAAAATTAATTCTCCGATAATTTTAGTATGCGTCTAAATAAAAATACTTGATCTGTAAATAATTGCGATAGAGAAGAGTCGTTTGAACTTTTTACGCGATATCGCCTTGGGATATGCTATTTTGTACATAGATCTTTTATTTAATATCTTTCCACAAGTTTTCATTAATGAATAATCTGAGTGTAGATTTAAATCATTTCATCTCGGGTTTCTATATTCACTTGCAGGTCTAGTTTTTCTGGACAGTTTTAGATTGTAAGTATTACGCGTGTCAACGGGATTGGGATTAGAAATTATTGGTGGAGACTGTTTATAATATTTGTAGAGGCAAGAGTTATTTGTTCTATGGACTCATTGTTGGGTCTGAAAGAGGTAATGAAGAATATACTTTGAAGAATGGACTTTGAAGAATAGACATTGTTTATTATAGATTCAAATGTGTAATAGTATCTGGTGGATCACTGAAGCTTAATATTATACTGTTAATTCTAAATGTAGTGATAAAGAATGGTATTTTTCAAGGTGGATACTGCTTTTAATAGGTTCAGACCCAAGTGTGTAATATTACACTAGACCCAAGTGTTACTCATCCCACAGACTCATTGTTGGGTCTGAAAGTATTGATGAAGAATATTATTTATCTAGATAATTATTTTTAACACTTATAAATTTAAATGTGTATCTGATGGACCACTGAAGCTTAATATTATACTATTAAACTTAAAAGTAGTGATAAACAATGGTACGTGTCAAGGTGGGTGTTTTTGACAAGTTCAGACCCAGATGTGTAATTTCATAAATTCTACATATTTATGCGACTATAACATTACACATTTGGGCTTGAAAGTGATAAAGAATAGTATCTGATGATTCAGACCTTGTCTTTGACAGATATAGACACATACTATCATATATTCTACATATGAGTAATATTACACAGTTGGGCCAGAACATGAAGATGTAGAATAATACCTAACGATGGACATCTAACTTTTGTGGACGTTTCTAACTTTTAAACCTCAGTTTATTATATCATACACCTTATAAATGTATCAATACGTAATATTATATAGTCAGGTTTAAACTTGACGATGAGGAATAATACTGAACTGTGCAGATATTATATTTGACACTTTCAAACTCAAGTCTGTTATATTACATATCTTATAGATGTGTTGATACATAATATTACATAGTCGGGTTTAAACTTGACAAAGAAAAATAATACTTAACTGCGTAGACATTATATTTGACACTTTAAAAACCTAGTGTGTTGTATTACACATTCTGTAAACTCATCGATGCATAGTTAATATAACTGGGCCTGAACTTGACGATAAAGAAAAATAACAATATAGACATTATATCTGACGCTGTCAAATCCAAGTGTATCATATTACACATCTCACAGTCTCATCCATGAATATCGTCAATATAGCTGGGCTTGAACTTGACCACAAAGAAAAAAAACAACGTAAACATTATACTTGACACTTCTAAACTCAAGTATATCATATTACACATCTCACAGTCTCATCCATGAATATCATTAATATATGCTGGGCCTTAACTTGACCACAAAGAAAAAAAACAACGTAAACATTATACTTGACACTTCCAAACCCAAGTATATCATATTACACATCTCACAGTTTCATTGATTCTTATCATCAATATAGCTGGGCCTGAACTTGACCATAAAGAAAAATTACAACGTAAACATTATACTTGACACTTCCAAACCCAAGTATATCATATTACACATCTCACAGTCTCATCAATACATAATAATACAGGTTCAAAAAATGATAACAAAGAGTGATATTCATCAATATAGAAATTGTCTTCGACACATTCAAATCCCAGTATGTTATATTACACATCCCACAGTTTTATCAATACATAAGCCTCCAAAAATGTCGAAAGTACTAATATAATATAAAATTAATGTTCATTGATACAGACATTGTTTTCGACTCGTTTAAACCCAAGTATGTTATATTACACATCTCACATCCTCATCAATACAATAACACTACAGCCTCCAAAAATGTCGAAAGTACTAATATAATATAAAACTATCATCCATCGACACAGACATTGTCTCCGACCCGTTCAAACCCAAGTATGTTATCCCTTTGCGCTCGAACGTAATTTGACTGTTTGCAAACAGCAACTGTAAAACTTAATTAAAAAATCAAATGAATGAGGTTATTATTTCTCTACTAATAATTTCCACTATTGTTTCTTTCTCTATGTTTATACATCACACCTGTCATATTATAGAATCAGTTAATAAATGCTTATTTCAAATTAATGTATTAAATAAAATGGTGACTGAGAGTCACCCTTCGAGCGCAAATCTCACAGCCTTATCAATCCACACTACTACAGTCTCCAAAAATGTCGACAAAGACTAATATCCTCCAATATAGTCTCACCCAACATTGTCTCCGACTCGTTCAAACCCAGCCACCTAAACCTCCACATCCACCATGCAGCCACCTAACACTCCACATCCACAAAACCATTCCAAAAGTTAAAATAAACCCATTGTATCGGTTCCAAACGTCTGTTGTTCACAGAGGATTCCATCCGAGGTTATTTCGAAGATACGTTCGGAAAAATGGTCTTCAGGGAGTGGCGTAACGCGGTCAATCATAAGATCGTTCTTGACGAGCCCATGGGATCGCTTACAGGGTTAGCCCCAATCCGCAACGCCCTTTTTCCACCCTTCCTTTGAGCTGACGGGCTGAAATCACGTTTCGTGTACGAGATCGAGGGTGGAAATCTGTTTTTTACGTGATACCATTCATGTCCCTAACGCTTGTTTATGCCTCGAAGGGAGCGCCATTTAACTCTATCCTGTTTCGCCTTTTTTCCCTGTGAAAACCTCTGCTAAACGCACCATCTTGTCATCTTTATCGTTTGCGATCTACCGGAATTGGCCTGCTTTACGTTTGCTGAAATATTAATTTTGGTGAGGTAATAATGTGGTGATACAAAATGTGATCGGTGGAGCTTTTTAATTTCATATGTGAGGTGGATGTTAGAGGTTAATTTATGCAATTTGGAAAATTTAGGATTCTAGTTTTAAGTGTTGGTAATATTAATAATTTGGAAGTTTTATCTTTTGCAAATTTGGGGATCTGTATATTTAGCAGTTTGGAAAGAGAGAAAAGTAGATCTAGAATCTGGACATTGCTTTTAGGTTCAGAATTTGATGTCTTTTGTAATTTTCAAATTGGAAATTTGGAAAGATGAATCTTCGAACATGGAAATTTGAGAGTCAGAGAAGTTGTGACATAGAAAATCTGTAAACTAAAAATTAAAAAATTCATAACCTCAAAAATGTCAAACTTTCTAAACCTGCAGATCAAAAGAAAATTTGACTGCCCACAAACTTCTTAACCTAAAAATTGATATTAATATTAATATCATACTAGTAATCCATCCTCTGAAAAGCCTAACAAGAATACCAAAAAATTTAAATAAACAAAAAGTGAGAAATGAGACGTTGAAGAAGAATACAAGAAATATATGAAATTTGGTGCAGCATGATGTTGCATTCGAGATACTCGTCTTTCCAATTTCGCTAATGGGCTGACTATCGTAGCCAAGCACACGTAACGCGAACCACAAGTGAACAACCTAACTAATTAGTTCCACGAGTGTTTAACGTAACACTGTTTAAGATAAACGTGTCATGTCTGACAGGCGTGAGAGATCTCTGATGAAGTGTCTTGCTTTCTTTCTTGCCATTTCAAGCCGACGAGTGACTTCATCAACCTTGTTTCAAACTGACTTTGTTAGTCAGCAGTTCTTGCTCATTTTGTGCCGATATGTAATTATCTTTTCGTCTAGGTTTGACTGACTTGGGAAATTTGAATGGTGGGACGGTGCAAACTTTTTTTTTAATTTGATACTTGGAGGATTTGGTGAATTTAGGCTTTGGAAATTTTGGGAAGTTGAGTATTTTGAGTTTTGGAGATTTTGGGAAGTTGAGAGTTTGGAATATTTTAGGTTGTGGAAATTTTGGGGACTTGAGGGTTTGGGGATTTCAGGTTTTAGGGATTTTGGGGAGTTGAGAATTTGGAGATTTCAGGTTGTGCAAATTTTGGGAATTTGAGGAATTTAGGGATTTCAAGTTTTGGGGATTTTGGGAAGTTGAGAATTTGGAATTTTTCAGTTGTGAAAATTCTGGGGATTCCAAGTTTTT